AAACGATTCTGAGCGGTGACGGTATGTCAGTCTATGTATAAGACATATTATATACATATTACATATCTATGGTATTAAACAAAAAATTGACCTATAATAGGTACCTATAATAAATTCCAAATTAATCATATCACAATATCCATTAGATACTTATATCGCGTTATACATCAACAAAAACCGTGATACTATCATAGATATATAATAGTACACTTTAGAAGTTTCAAGTACCCACGAATAATATTATTCAATCACAACAAAATAACTAAAATCGTAATTCTTGGTTTAAATATGAAATTTTGTCTAAATTTGAAATTAAAGTGTCTGTAAAAAATAAGTGTGTTTATATATATTTTTTTAGATTTTTTGGTTACAGTATGAATTATTTAAGAGTATCTTTGTTTTAAATTTTCAACTCTTAGTTATAAAAACTGAACATTTTATAATTTATTAATTACGATGGTTGATAATTTTCGAGATTTTGATAAATTTTGTCAAAATTCCAACTTTAAATGCTTATAAAAAAAAATCGTGCCTATGTATTTTTAATATTTTTCAACTGATATTGTAACAATATATCAGGAGCCTTGTATTAAATTTTTACACTTTTTGGCCCAACAGATAAAACTTTATTGATATTTATAGAAAAAAAAACTAAAAAAAATTGAAAGCTGTAAATGTCCATAAACAGCTCAAAAAGAGTCAAAATATTTTCAAAATTGTATGGTGTATAGGAAATGCTAATATAAACATTCAGTGAATTTTTCATGTATCTACAGTTGTGCGTTTTTGAATTGCAACAAAATAAGGAAATCGCTACATGAGTAATAAATATCCAATGTTGTAAAAATTTGAATTTCAAACGCTCATAAAAATTTAATTTGACTGTCCGGTAGAGATTTTTTTATTGATAAAGGTAGATAATCTTATAAGGAATCTTGTGTTTCATTTTCAAATCTTAGATTTAAAAAGAAAAATTTTTACGAATTCTTAGCTCAAAATAATTTGCTAATTTTCGTGATTTTTCCATATTTTGTCAATTTTTGAACTTTAAATGCTTATAAAAAAAAATTGTGACTAAGGATTTTTAATATTTTTCATCTGCCTTTGAAACAATATATTAGGAGCCTTCTATTAAATTTTCAAGCTTTTGCAACCAACAAATAAAATTTTATTGATATTTTTAGAAAAAAAACTAAAAAAAAATGGAAAATGAAAATGTCCCTAAACAGTTCAAAATAAATCAAAATATTTTGAAAATGTTATCGTGTATAGAAAATGCAAATATAAACAACCAGTGAAAATTTCATGTATATACGTTCATTTGTTTTAGAGTTACACCAATAATCAAAATCGATTTATGGAAAACCAATTTTGCGTAAAAATTCCCGTTTTTCCTTAATTTTTATGTTGTTTTTTCCCGGCGCTTGTGAAAACTACTGGGAAATTTATCCTTTTGACCCCCCAAAGTACCAACTAGATTCACTTTCCTATCAGAAAAGCTACTGATGAAGAAAATCCAAGCACTTTTACTGTCCCAAAACGTGATGACAGACACAAAAAAAAATAAAAAATATAAAAACACACATCATTGTAAAACCAATACATTCATCGCTCCGCTCAGAATCTAAAAAGCAACTATTTTGTAAGATTATAATAACAAAAAAAAAAAATAAAATTGTATATTACTTACATTGTGTCATTTATATATCTATTAATCGACAAGACTGAAGAAGACAACCATTCACCAGTAGTGTAGATAATAAAATGATGGTCAAAAATGAAAATAAACTATAAAGTGATCAAATAAAATTAATTTTGTCAATCTATAAATAAGTTATAAATAATGATTGAATGCCTTATACTGGTATTTCCACGATTTTTAATTAAAATGATAATCGTGCTCCCCTGGTCGACTTGCTTCGAACAGTAATAATTTATAGCTATAAAATATTTGTAAGTAAATATTCATATTTGTGTCTAACTATTCTATCTAACTATTACATAATAATTAACGTCGTGGAATCGGTTGCCATATTTCTGTACAGCAGTGAATATCTGAGTATTATAAAATAAATAACGCAGCATAAAATACGAATACCCAAACATTTTTATTCACATAAACATGTAAGGCACGAGGCCCCTCGATCGCGAGGCCCTGGGCGTGGGCCCCACTCGCCCGGCCCTAAATCCGGCCCTGGTTCTACGTTATACACTAGATTTTTTTATATCTCATAATTAGTACCTCCGTGTACGATACGTCCTCGTAAAAAACTGGTATAATATAATACCTCCAACATATAATATAGGTAGGTACTTTCGATATACCGCTCACATGATATATCGTTTATAGATTATTCACAGAGATTAATCAAACAGCCGTTAATATCTGCGTTTTTAATCTCTCCGGTTATTTCGTACCAATTACTTATTTTCATCTGGGGGACGTTTTCAGTGATTTACACCTTGTGCCGCGTGCCGTCAATACATCGATCCATGCACGCGGCTCGCTTTTCGTGATTTTCTATATATAATAATATTCTCGTTTTATCCGCCGACAAGTTTTTTCTGATTAAACGGTATAAATATTTTATTTATTGATATAATTAATAGTTAACCCCCAAGCCTATAGGAGCATAAACGAGTTCATTTTAACTTTTTAACTCAAATATTGTTTTTGATTTCATTTTCATTAGCTCAACTGATTTTCATTGATATAAACTTAATAAATAACGAGTTAAATTTAATTAAAACTAAGTTACGTTAATTTATACATAAATGTCTGCCTATGTGTTCATATTACCGTGGCAATCATTTATATATTATTTTGAGATTTCCGATAGAATTTTTTGCATATACCTATGTAAATGGTTGCCATAGTATTATGTAAAACATATTGTTCATATAGAGTTGACATTTTTAATGGGAAACGAAGTGCATGGGATCAGCAATTTTTATATATATAGATAGATTAGACCTCTGGGCAGAAGATAGGCTAATTTAAAAAGGGAGAGGACCAAGCTCAAACCGGGATTTTGAGATTTCCGATGGAAAATTTTGTTTAAAAATGGTTGCCATGGGTTTCGAAGCTATTATAATAATAATTATTGGTTATACGGGATCAGCTAGTAAATTATATATCATAGACCAAATCAGTCAATTAGAACAGCAATCTATGGATAACGGCGAGGAGAGTGCAAGACAAGACATATTAAACATTTAAACAAAAAATAGAAATTGTTCTAAATAAGATAAATACAACAAAATTGAAGTATCAAAAATAATTAGGTAGCCCCTACTATATTTTTAATGATCAAATAGATATTATGTTCGACTGAAGGCACGCATTTGGGGGGAGGGAGGGAGCAAGTTTCCCTTGTTGCCAGGGGCGGCAGCAAGTTTACTTTATTCGGGGGGCGGCAATTTTATATCAAAATAATATTTAATAACAAAAAAAAATTATATTTATTTTTATACTTAAATAAATTTATTGGAAAAACTTTTTTGATAATATTGTTATTTTATATTTTATATTTTATCTATAAAGAGATTGGACTTTTTAATATACGATAACGATGTGTGTGTAGTGTGTTGCACTGCCGTGAGTCGCGACTATGCGCCTTTGCCTATCTCGTGTAAACTTCTAAATATTCGATGTTATTTACCAAATTTTTTTTCTGTTTCAACTATTCATTCTGGATATAGTGTCACTGCTGATTCGAGTAAGTAATTGAGTAATAACAGTATGATAAGTAATAACCGGGTCTTTACTCTTTGTTGTTATTTAATATTATTTATACTTGTAATAAATACTTTTAATTCATCTTGTATGAGCGAAATCTAAAATCAATTATATTGTATCCTCGTAGGTAGGTACTTACCTACTTAACATATAAAAATTTGTACGTATGTGGCACAGACTGTACATCTTGACATATAGTGAATTTCTCAATATTATATATAATATAAGTTAGTAATATGTACCTGTTTATTTTTTTTAATTTTAATATTATATTATAATTTACCTATATTTTAAATCTGGGCGGGAATTAGGAGTATGACCATATATTAGTCTATGAGGCCTATCATGCTGCATGGGAGCCAAGTAATGTGATAAACGTGCGACTCCCATGTAGTGGTTCAAATCCAAAAAAAAAAAAGTCTATGAGGCCTATGAGGGTATTATATTAGTATAAGCATGGGCTTTACGTCATATTGAATAGGATAGTTGATTACATTTTCTAAGGACTAGAACAATGTCTACAACAAAGTAGATATATCTTACATTTAAAAATAATAACTTTTTTCGTGGGAGTGGGGGGTAAAATATGTTGCCTCGGGGCGTAAAATGTCTAAATACTTGCCTGATATCCACTGCAGCATATCCGGCTACGTAATTATTATAAATGTCAAATATCTATAACGACAGAAATAAGTGATTAGTAAAATAAAATATTAGTCTGAATTTATCTTACTATAGAAACGAATAAAAAATATTAATATTATATAATATTAATTCAACTTACAGGATATAATAAATAATAACAATAAAAAATATGCAGACTGTCTCCACTCAGAATCGTTTTTCTTATACAATGTCAACAATGATATTATATCATTGATTTCAAGTTCAATACAATCCATTATACATTGACCCACTTGTAACCTACTGTACAGCAGAGTGACATCCACTTCCCCGCTTTTTGTAATTTTATATTTTGTATTACAAAATAACTTTGTTGAATACTTAAAAATTGTGTTCATAATTTTTTTTAAATACGTTTTCCCGTGTAATTTTTTCTTATTGTTTATTTTAGTCGATTTAACTTGTTAAAAGTTAGAACTCCAAGTTTATAAGAATATTGAAAACTTCAATTATTTTTCGAAGGGGTCAGCGTATTTAAAAGGGCCTTGGGGAACATAGTTGCTCAAAATCCGGCCCTACGTTCGTATGTTAACTAGTATGTACCAATGTAGGTATATTGAATAATTATGTAAATGTAATGTACGTTACACGTTCTCAAAGCTTCACGAGCTCCTTCAACAGCGACCCTGTGGTTTTCGGCACCCATCTGAACCAGGCCCACGACGATCCACTCGACCAACGTGTTTCAAATTCTGCAGTCGAAAGCTCACATCACCGCCATCTCCTGAGGATCATCGCATCGTCAGAGGAGTTTCGGGATGGTTCGAGCACCCTGCACCAGTTACTGACCGTTCTGCGTCCTCTCGTCCGGGCGGTGGGAGTCGTTTCACAGCCACCGCCGCTGCATCCACGCAAAATCGAAGACGACACAATTATACGACGACGACACTGTCAACGATAATTGATTAAAAAAAAAAAACTATACGAAGTCGTCTTCCCATTGTGTTATAGACTAATAAATGAACGTAGCATTAAATGTTATTTGTTTAATTTTTAAATAGTATTAAAACACATGCAAGAATCCATGGTTACTGCCATCGAGTCGCTGTTTTCGTCTTCGTTGGCTGCAATTACCAAGGATCAATTAAAACACCAGATTTAGATAGTGGATTACTCATCCAAAAATGGCAAAGGCAAATCCGGTTTAGACGCACCTTTAGATATTTTCAACGCGTTTTAGGGGCGTTATCGCTGCACAGCATTTGCGACAATTTCAAGCTACATGGATTTAGTGTGTGGCGTATGTAAGGCCGCACTCAACGGCTACATAAACACGGTGGACATACACAGTAAAAAGTGGTCAGGCCATGGCCTGCGCCGATCATAGGCGCCACCATCATAACCCGTCATCGAACAAAACCACTGTAAACAATTAATATAACGACGAACTTTGCCCTAAACGGTTAGGTATTTTCCTTAATAATAATGCTAGATTGCCCACAGTTAAAATTATTGACAAAAAAAACCATCTGTAGACACTGGCACGGGTTCAAGCCATTTTGACTCTGACGACAATGCAAATTGCCAATAATTATAGACACTACTCAGGAACGTCACCAAATCCAAAAGTATCGTACAATTAAAATATATTTACTTCTCCAAATCGTTACAGTTCTTTAACCAGGGCCGTTATTTCAATATTTGCTAGGGTAGGGCATGATAATGACCGGCCCTATAGCTATAAAACTTTTAAGTACTTACTTTTAAATAAAAGCTCATTCACTCATTTAATATTTTTTTTTACATTTTATGAGAGATACAGTTCCACTTTTGTTAACATATTACTAATTATTAAAACTTATTTTGATAAGAAACTACTCATACAGTCATATTATATTACTTATATGGACAATTCCCAGTAAAAAAACTTCAACAACTACATAAGATTGTTGGGTTCAGCTAATAATAATACACGTCACACATATTATAACTGAAAGCCCAATCACTTATGGAACCTTCGAAATAAACTGTAACATTCCGCATGAAATATATTCACCTCTCAACTCTCTCCGATTTGGTCAATACTCTTTACCTGCCAATTTCACCATAGTCTGAAAACTCATGAAAGTCGGCGATATAACATTTATTTTATAAAACGCGTAAAGGGCGTGTATCCATTTCACGTGCGGCATCACTTATTATTTCAGAAAACAATAAAGTTTTTGAAAATACCTCTTTCACATATAATTTTAAGTCGTTTCAAAACAACATTTTTGGAAAAAATTTATTTTACACTAGCCATTTGACGCTTTATTAATAATAATATCAAATAAAAATCAAATAAATTACATAGAAAAATCGTTTATTGTAGTGTACATGTTCATAAGTTTACGGTTATATAGGCATATTAATTATAACTTATAGGTATAATTTTATTACATAGACATTTCTTTTTGGTTTAGGTTTTGATCACAGTACCTTCAGCTTATTTTAGACAATTAAAATGAGGTAGTTTAGGGCGGCATTATAGCCGTTACTGCTGATCACTAAATATTTTCACAGCAGATCTAAGGAACAAATGAGGCGATACCACGTGGTTATTTATATTACCGCTGAGCAAAAGCAAATTCAGTACAGGCGCATAATATAGTGTTTGAAGTATGAAATATTTCACAAAAACGTGAAACATTGAAATTTTTTTAACGCAAATAAAAACACAATTTATTTATTATTATAACACAATGTTCAGTATTCTAAATTGTAATGTAAGAATTCAGTAGGTATACAATATACATGCATACTATTGTATATCTATACTTGTATCGTTTAAACATTAAAATATTTAAAAATTTTGAATACCATTTGAAATGTATAATACCAAATGTTAGGTACACATTTAAGTACCATACAATTATGAGGATTTATGACAATTATATATATATATAAAACATATTTAAAAATAAAACAAAATTTATTAAAAACTGAAATATTTCATTTTTTTAAATTTCATGAAATTTTCAAACACCAAGCTCATATATTACGACCAGGGGAAACGAACAAAAAACACACTAAGGCGACGTTTCATAAAACACGGCGAAGAGCAGTCGGCGGGGGCACGGTGCACTAATTTAGAGCGGAAAACCTGCCCTAACGGCTGAAAACGAGGGGACAAAAAATGTCGGAAGCGTGAACCAAAAAAAAGGCGAGCGTAAACAGATTTGGATAGTGTCCGGAGAACAAAACGGTGTACTGCGCAGACGCGATAAATGGGTGTGGGGGAGTGGGCTAACGCCTTGAATTTAGAACCATACGATTTAAACTTTTATTATAATATGTACATCATATTTATTAGCAGTATTACTCTGCATTTCCCGAATCTGCCCAATTTTTTTTGTTCTGACTAGAATACATTCTAGATTTTTATTTATAATAATAACTTATTGAGTCGATTGTAAGTTTCCATATTACTTTTAACTCTTAATTGAGGTAAAAACAATATTAGGATGACTATATAAGCTTTAAACTTTTAAAAATATTTTCCATCATATTAACTCAATTTAAATGTATAATAATTAACTTGCCCAGCCTCGAATATTACAATACAATATTAGATATGACGCACACAGTTCTTATAATATCAATATTATTGTAGTGGACTTTGGGTTGAATTTACTGGAGATAAGCTATATTATTGTGTATTTATATGCGAGTCCGCAAGTTAGGGTTCTGGTGGTGGTGGGAGGGGGGCGAGTAGATAGAGCTCGAATTGTTGATTGCCTAAGGATAATTCCTGGATTCCCGTGTATTTTATCGACCACAGAGGTGGTCCCTACAATATTGAACAATCGAATCCGACGACTATAATATAATATTATGCGAGACGTCCTCCTCTAAACAGTATACGGTCTCAAGCATCGAAAAGATTCGTTTGATTTATGTTCGGAAGCTCACTCATGTTTGACCTGTATAAACATATAATATGTACTTTCGCAACAGGATTACCGATTTTTTTTCGCAATCACCCACCGCAGGGCGTAAGTTCTTTGTGAAATTCGTTCCGCAAGAGTCAGTGTAAAAATTATAGGTACCTATAATAGATATATACGCCTACCAACGTGAGTTTATTGGTTGTTGCCTTGTTGGACATAAAACACTATATATTTATTATCGCGCAGACTCAATGTATTATAGCGTTTGAAGTCGGAAACATATTATTTTTATCAACCGTAAAATGTTGAAATAGGTTAAGCAGTCTTCTCTTTCGAACACACAACTGCTATATTATAGTATCCTAAATATTAATATAATACACAACTACAGAAATAGTCCCTCCGACTTAGACAAACGATGATATACGTAATATTATATTGTGCACGTTTGATTACATTAATTGTATGGTTTCGGTAATAGTAACTAATATTATTCTGAGTATTTTTTATTTTTTGATAAATTGACGAGCTTTATTTTAACATCGAAACTACCTAGCAAGTATGTTTTAATTTTTGTATCTATAGTTCGTACCACAAGTTTAAACACATTAACAAGTTATGACGACTGATGGTGAGCTACACTCATAAAAATATAGAAATAAATCTAATAGGTAGGTTTTTTTAAATTATTCATCCTCATTGCTTCATAAAAATATACAGAGAATTTATATGGGTTAAAAATGTAAACACGTTGATATCATCGCGCTAAAATTTCTAAAAAACACTTATAAATATATGTATCATACCAAATTAAAAGTTATTGAAATACCTAATAATATAAAACAACATTTCGATACTTTTATTCGACTATAAATAAACGTTTCAACCGAATAATCTACAATATATTCTAAAATATACATATAATATAATATTATATGCGCCTATATAATATGGGGTCTGGGGTCTAGCCGTCTAGGGAACGTTTCTGACCATCTGCATCTGCCTCTGCCTCTGCAGACCATCCCTGTAGACCAGTCTGACAGTTCGAAACGAAATTTTCGCGTACCTACTAATTCAAATTGTATTTATAATATTTTCTAAAGTGATCTTCTATCTATAAGTATATCTACAGGTAGTGCGCACAATAAATTTTACTATTCACTAAAAATATTTTATTTCCCGCGTCTTGTATTAGGCTCTGGATCCACGACTCTGGGTCGGCATAACGAGTATATTATTATAATAACCGTGAGGCGTGCAATACACGTTCTATATCGGTGATATAATATTAATAATAATGACGTTCCGCGTCAACCCTTTAGTAGGAATGGACGGAAAAGCCGTTCGGCGAAGTATAGGGAAATCGCTCGTCACGCCGGACATGCAGTCATCGGTACATTCGTGGATGGTCGGATTGCTACGTCATCAGTCGCCCGACTGGAGCAAAACGGAAAACGGTCATCCGGTCCAGTAAGTTCGAAACATTTCCTACATTTAATAATATGTGCGTACGTACCTAACACGATCCCGGCGTATATTTGCCCATCCGCGACGAATAACGCACATCCGGTATATATTTAGGTATGCAGTGAGCTGCAGTATCGATGTACTTGACTTTACTGCACTTTCGGCGTTGTTTATAATATATTATTATTATTATGCTTGTGCATAGTATATAGTTTGACGTGCGTATGACTTCACAATAAAATATAACATACATTATACATGATATTATTTGTTAACGGGCGATATTAACTTCCTATGTTATGGAAATTGAAAAATAACAAACTTATCGTTCAAAATAAAATCTAGGTGTATCAACTATATTTGTCAATACTAATATAAATACTTATATTTTGAAAACTTATTTATGTATTAACTTGTGGCTGTATTATATTGTATAATACAATATATTTTCACAGTTTTATCATAGGTAAACCTGAGGGTTACTACACTTTCAAGTCTACAACACCAAGTAATAACAATCTAAAACTATACTTTAGGACAGGTATCGACAATTAGTTACGAAGAG